ACTCACTGAGTCGGTGGAATAAATAATCCTGATGCTGTTCTTTCTAAACCTTTGTTTGGCCGCCTAAAGGCCCTTGAGGTGGTGAGACACCAGACCTGGGAACAACTAAAAGAGGTGTATAAGCCCGAAGATTCACAAGTGCCACACCAGTTCCAAGGAGGGGGACACCGTCTTTGTCCAGCGGCACCGAATTGGGAATCTAGAGCCTCGTTGGAAAGGACCATATTTAGTGCTCCTAACGACCCCTACAGCAGTGAAGGTTGAAGGCATCTCTGCTTGGATCCACACCTCACACGTAAAGTAAGCCCCTGAACTACAAACAAAATGAATGGAAACTGGAAAAGACTATGGATCTTCTTAAGCTGCGCCTTCATTGTGAGCATAGCTCAGGTGAAGAATAACAACCCCCATGCTCCCCAAAAAATTAACTTATATCACAAACTGGGGATGTAGTCTGGTCAATTTCCAAGACTGCCCCACCCTGGACATGGTGGCCCACTCTAACCCCTGATGTATGCCAATTAGTAGCTGGACTGGACAATTGGGTTGTACCTAACTATCTCCCAACTAATTTACCCACTGTCGGAAGAACTGGCACAGGCCCAGGATGCAGTAATCCGCTCACTCGCTGTGCAATACGGGAAGCAGATTTGTATGTGTGCCCTAGGGAAGGTAGGTCTCGTCCACAAGTAGTGAAGTGTGGGGGTCCTGAGTCCTTCTACTGTAAGGCATGGGGATGTGAGACTACTGAAGATGCCTGGTGGAAACCTTCTTCGTCTTGGGACTTAATTACGGTTAAGAAAAACCATACTGAGAGCCCTATCTGTTCTTCCATAAGCTCTAGGGTCAAACAGATAACAAATGGACCCTGCAGCAGAACCCCTTACTGTAATCCTCTAAATGTAACCTTTACAGACTCTGGAAAGAGATGGGCCTGAGCTGGGGATTAAGATTCTGTGTGTCAGGAGAAGATCCGGTTATGACACTGAGACTTAAGATAGAGAACCCCTCTCCCTTACCAGTTGGGCCTAACAAAGTTTTGCCTGATCAAGGCCTCCGGCCCAGGTACTCCCCAAAGGACCTCGTGTTCCTTCTAGGGATCTAACCTTTAGCCCTGCACCTATGTCTACCTTAGGTAACTCTTTTCTGGCAATGCCTTCCACTGGACAGAGATTGTTAGATTTGATACAGGGG